TAAACAAGACTAAGGCTTAGTCCAAAGATTTACTAATTCACTACTCCTCAGTAGACTGTCAATGGTTTACTCTTTAGTAAACAGTACATTAAGTCGTGTATCATTTTAGATACTTGTACTTAATTGTTTGTATTAATTTCCAATTCCACATATAGTACAGCCCTGGAATGTTTTTAGTTTTGTGATAAACGGTATGTTTGTGAGTATGGAGAGCGGTTGCATACAATTGCCGGTACAGAAAAAAATAAAGTTCTATTGAATCAAATTGGATTGAAGATTTCAGACACTTACTATTCATCATGATTTAGCGTCATCACAATAGGCTGTAGAAATGGACGTAGTCACTGTGATCCTTGAGTTCGGTATATTGGCCGTTGCAATCTTGGCTTTCTGCAACCAGAACTGACACAGGAGGGTGATACAAAAAAATGCTGGATAAGACATTTTTAGGCCAGTAAAAAAGGTTACAAATAAATGTCATGAACTGGGAACACAGGGTTAAAGTTCTAAGGCGAAAACAAGCACAACACCCAGACTGGTCAAAGCAGAGGTAGCGACCAGTCAGTCACAAGGTAGCCACGCCCTAATGCATACCTGCTTTATTGTCTATATTCCTTTAAATGGGACCACTTTCCAGTTCTGAATAGTGAAACCAATGCGGAAGTGTCGCAGAGGGCATCTCCTCTGGTTGCAAAAAGAAGACTGATTGTCTACTTATATGCAGCCCTTGAGAGTGGCACAAGGGTCATCTATAAAATCAGATTCATGAGAATGTCATTATTTCTTCAGGTGTTTGGTCATTAAACATTGTCTCGATGATTGATTGATTGATTGATTGATGGATTGAAAGTTTAGCGATCACCAAAGTTAGCACAGGGGAGCAGGAATGTCTGTACAGAAATGTATGGCAATCCATCCAATAGTTCTCTTGTTTATGATTGCAAATCTAAATCGAATTTAAGAGTCAATCTACGGCCTTCATTAATCCCACTTATATCTTCTGTAAGACGTGTTCACACTCGGTAAATTAATTAACGTTGGTTATGTAAAGCAACAGGCATCACCTTTCCTCCATGCCTCCTGTAGAGTCAGCCCCTGAAAGTGCTTTTCAGAGCAGTAACTGTCATGTCAAATATGAAATGTCGCAGAGGATCTTGCTGTGCGACGTGGTTTTTCATTAAGTCTACTTTAATATACATCAGGATTGACGGGTCCTTCCATCCATGCGCTCCATCTCTACACAGCCCTCATCTTTCTCCCTTTTCTCTGTCTCCAATTACTGTTGTATTAACTCCATTAGAGAAACCATCAGTTGTGTAATTGACCAATTGGCATGAGGATCAGGCTCCTTATCAAGTTTCGTAACAAATATTAAACCCAAATGGAAACCGGAGTGCGCATGAAGGCCCCCAGGGAGAGGACTCATATCCGAGATCCGCAGTTCACCCTCTGCTGTCTGTCTGTCTCCGTTCTCTGTTCTTTATTTCTATCCTCTCTGCACCCACCATCACCCTGATTTCCTGTTTTCATCCCCTTATCTCCTCTTCCTGTGATCTGTCAGTTATGTGGGGATGTGTGGTGGTATTGTCCCCCCCCCTCACACACTCTTTCCCTCTCTGCGTCCCGGCCTGTGCCTGATGTCTTGCTGTCCTAATCTTATCTCAAGGGTGTGATCAATACATGAAAGAACAGAGATGTATTACCATCTCTCCCTCTATCTGTGTCTGTCTCTCTCTCTCTCACACACACACACACACACACACACACACACACACACACACACACAGACACGTGCATTACTGGCATCATTAGATAAACATGATGAATGTGTAGATGTAATTACTGTTGAATCAACGATAATTAGCTGCACAAATGCAAGCAGGATTACAGACATGCTGGAGAAAGGTACATGTTGTACTAGTTTGGATGTAAATGTGGAGCACGATCTGCCCTATTTTTGCCTTGCAGATTTACAACCACTTAATCTTAGCTCGAGGTGACAGAGGCTTGACTTAAGTTACACTTTATTCATTCACTCGGTGAAATTTATCCAACAACAGCAGTTTTCCTAAAATCCTTTAAAGAGCATGTTTATTGTTGTGGATTAATGAAATTTTCAGAGGTGACTTCCCTGTTCTTGGCAGAGCGCCTAGCCAGAAGAGGGTCACACAAACCAACACAGCTGCGGCATGTTCCCCGCAACCAGTATTTACTGTAATTGTGTGGCAACCGCTGCACTTTGTCTCGCTGGGAAATGTCGCTTCAGAGCCAGAGGTTTTGAATGCAATTGGACCTTGTGATTTCATTTCACAGCAGGAGTGCTTATTTCCACGATGCCAACATCAAATTTATCAACAGAACAGAACTGATGAAAACATCTAATCAAAAATTGCCAATTCATCCATTAAGTCAGAGCTCAAATTGAGTACACAGAGCACCTCTTGAAGCAAGAAAGCCTATCTCTCTCTGTGTTATCGTGCTTTGTATCCATCTCTAATTTGTGTGCCCCCATTGGCACTTTCAGTCAGCCTTGGTCTTTATTTCCTGTTTCCTGTTTAATATCAGCTGCACTATAAAAAAAAACACTTTTAACCCATTTCCCAAGTGACGACTCCTTTCCTAATCCAACCAAAGATGGTCGCCAGGAAAGACATATATCGAATAAAATGAAGTAACGTCAATAAAGAGAACCATAACCGGTAAACCATTCGAATTTTGGTTCACATTATACAAATTTGAGAAAGGACACATGTAATTTCTGGCCACCATCTTTGTTTAGCTCTGTGAACGATAATACATGAGAGGCTCAAACTGGGGGCGGCCTGCTGAAAGTCTGATGTGCTACACTCCCATCCATCACACCCTTACTTTCCACCGAAGTAAGAAGCACACTACTTCCTACGTTGGCTGTCAATATTGGTGTTGGATGTAAATTGTGAGGTGCTGAATAAACATATTTCTTCTGGACAGTGGGCTGTCATTTGATGATGCTATGAAAAGCCCCCTCTTTAAAGTGCCTTGAGTGCACATCTAATCCTCTTTCCACTGCTCCCTCTTCTGACTCACTTTCCCCATGACCTGTTCTTCCTAAATTGTTTCTTTGCTTCATCCCTCCTGCTGTCCCAGTATGTGAGTTCACTCCCTCCCTCCCTACCTGGGTGGGAGTCAGTAACTGTGACGTAGCTGTTGTTTCGTCGCTACAGAGAGACAGTCCAGGCTGCAAGGACAGCAGCTCCTCGTCTTTCCCTCTTTCTCTCGCCGACGCATGCACAATCCCTCCGCTAACAGCATCTCTCTGTATGCAGGTGTGAGTGAGTGTGCAACACAGAAAGATAGGTGTCCTCCAATACAGGTCATCTGTAGAGGCACAGAGCAGGGATCTGCCCCAAGGACAGCGGTCTTAACAAGCCTTTCATTTTCACAAGTCAGCAGTGGAAAACACACAGTGTCCCACTTACCTCAGGCTGAAGAGAACAATGTCCAGCTAAAACGTTTAACTAATGTTTTATTTTTCTGCTTTGTAAACCCTCCTAGTCTGTCTTGGCTTATGATGCTCATTCAAACACTGCTCACACTTGGCTACCTTGTACTAGCATGCATTTAACACACGGGGGGACACAGTGGTGCGTTGTGTGAAAGCTGAACCTGTGGAAAGAGCTGGTCAATGTCGGGCTTTTCCATAGGTTTGAAGAGGAATTAGGGCTTGGCCTGTGAGACTCTGGTGCGCTTTGTTTGGCCGTCTTGGAGCCTCCGGTAAATATTGACAGGCTGTGACAGTCTCCAAAAACTCCAAAGAGTGTTGTTGATTAAATTCAATGGAGGGTCGGGGTATAAGCTGTTTTTTTTTACCTCCTCACATTTTTTTGTATACTCGTTTTCTCCTTCCCTCCACTAAGTCTGAAGTGATACAGCCTTCCACACTGGTAGAAATACAGCTTTTGGTTTACTGTTACTTCAGAGGGGACATGTGCATTCAATGTGTTGGGTCTAATGCACTTAGGCTATCAGATATAAAACCTAAAATAAGAATTTCACTATATACATTAAGTTAAGACCCGCACATAATATGGTTATGTAATGAGATACAGGCTTTATGCGACTACCAATTCACATCCAATGCGTTTTCGTGGTTGGTAGAGAAAATGTGGTCTTGAGTGCTTTCTGCGGCTCCAAAGATGGGTTAGAGAGGGTTTAGTACATCTCTGCTCTTTTGTCCCTCTTTATTTCTTTGTAAACCCTCTTGATGTTGATCATGCACGAGAGGTGTCCATCACCACCACAAGTATCCCATCTGAAAATGTTCCAATGACAAACCACTGGATTTGATCCAAATACGCCAGGTTTCTGTGGCTGAGCCAATCTCCTGGCTGTCTCCCAGTGACGGATCAACCTTTCACATCTGGGACCATTAATGTGCAATCATGCTTCTGAGTTCGCTGCAGAGGGGGTAAAAGCACAAGAGAGGAGAAGAGGCTCCAAGCCCCAAAGGACTTCTCTTAAAGTCTCCTTGACAGCCCCTGGGACTCCAGAGAGCAAATGAAAGCAGCAGAGAGCCATCTGACACTTCACCGCCTATTTCCAACAGGCTTTCTGGCTTTCCGCTTTTAAAACCTTAAATTATAGCTGCAATAAAAGTTATTCTTAATGGAATAGGCTCGATAATGTAGCACTCATGCGTTTCTTAATTGTGTCTCGTGATGCAATGTACTTTTTTTGTGTTTTAAAGAGTTACAACACAGGATTTTTGTTTGTCTCAGACAAAACTTGTGCGCAGGATAAATTCATTGTTGGTTTTAGTTTCTTCAGAGGAATTATACTTAATAGTGTAATTCTTAAATTTTCCTAATTTTTCCTTAATTTGCTCAATGTATTTAAGTTACTCAAAAGGAAGACATGTGACACGTGGCAAATTAATATCTTTGAAAATGAGATTGCATTTAATGGCTAATGGCGAAATCTGGATCATTTGCTTACTCCTCATTTTGACCTCCTCTCTCCAGGAAACAGGAGCTGCTGAACATTTCCAACGTCCCGCTGGGAGAATGTCCCCCCTCACCGCCCCGCACTGCACCGCCCAACATGAAGGTAGGAATCACACACACACACACATGAATGTGCACGCACATGTTGTGACATACATGTGTACACACACATTTTTAGATAGATATTGATTTACAGACATTGTTTGCCCTTTAGGCCTATTAGAAAATCTATTGATTGTGATTATCCTCATTGAGAAATCATTTTAGTAAGCAAAGCGTTTCAGAGACGATGACAAGGTCAACATGACACAGCACTGCATGAGAAGGAAAGTACGATTTTTACAGGTTTGTCTTGAGCCTGTTTGAGTTATAACGAAGGTTACAATATTGTAATCCTAGTTCTATAAGCATGAGCAGAGCCCTCTGCTCTTACGCCGCTTGCTAAACAGGGTGTCTGATAGCTTAGCAGCAGTGTGTGCTACCTTATATACCTTGGGGAGTGCACATATTCGGGTTGGCACATCCTGATTGGCCAGCTAGGCTGATGCATATTTTCAGTTGGTTAATGCGTGCTCGTCAAGAGAGGGGAGTACAACCCATGGAGTCCAGCGGAGGGCTCCGTCTGTGATTATAGAACTAGGGTTACAATACCGTAACCTTCGTTCATGACCAATTACAGTAGGAAAAGGTCGGAAGCTTTATTCTCAGCTGCTATCTTGACCACAAATTGTGAAGTTCAATCAAACGGTATCATAAAATGAAACTTGGGCCAAAGCTGTGACTCGGCAAATTGAAAAAAGCATCGGAGCAAAACCAAACGGAACCTGAATACAAATTAAATCCATCAGACTGTAGAGGATCATCGTTCTCAGGTATTGAGAATGATGATTCATGTGGTAGTGACATTATAGTGCTGCATATTTAGAGAAAGCTTTTTATTTATATGAGATGGTGAGGTGTTGATGTATGTTTGATATCCATTACTCACACTGCATTGCACTTGTTCCACGGCTAGAAAATTTTAGATTTTTCTCGAGCATGATAAATTAGAGGAAACATTTTGCAGGAGGGCAGATCAGCAGGGTGATATACATGAAATGGATGACGGCTCCTGCAGGAGGGAGACACTTTCTGCAGTAAGTCACCTTGAACTAAGCCATCATTATTGAATCTTCTAACACAGAGGGAGACAGCACAGAAAGGCGAAGTTTGCTCAAGGTCAGGCAGACTGATTATTTAGACAGGAATAAAACACCCTAATATATGACAAAATATATGAGAGAAATATAACTGCAGTGAAATGTAATCTTGATGTGTGGCTGATTTCTGGTGTATATCAATCGACAACCCACAATTTTGCTGTGAGCTAGAGTGGTCTAACGTTCATGTAATGTGTGGTAAGATATTCATCTTCAGTGTCACACTGGTAAAGAAGTTTTGACGCTTATAATTTCCTGTAATCACAGTCCACATCAAATCCATCAAGAGACCACACAACTTTGGCTGCTTTGTTACATGATGTGCAGCCTACACCTTCAAAGCTGGAGTGTGCAACATTAGAGAAACAGGAAAGAATAAGCTATACTTTGAACGCATCTAACTGCAAAACCCATGCCAACTATTTTTCCAATGAAAGCAGCACATAACCCCAAAAGTCTAGCAGGAAAGTAGGATACACTGTGAGCCCGCCCCTTCCGGCCCCTCCCCCCCTCCTTCTTTCTCAAAAACATCTGTCCATCTTCTCAGATTGGTAAGTACATGTTAATAGGTTCAATCATGCCGTCTCAATTGATATACAACCTAAAACATGTTCAAAAATAGATTCCTAATTTCCTTGCATTTTATTAGCTGGATAATTCACTACTCATAAATACAAATGATTCACATCTGATTGCACAGACTACATGTCGTTGCTACTCAGCTTAGTTATTGACATTGCTGCTTCTGATACAGGGGCCATAAAGATGACTGTCCGTGGAGGACACAGACTGCAGCATGGTACTGGAGCTATATTGTGCACTGCAATTATGACATTTTGTCTTTCCTATACTCTTCGTGACATAATGAGGAAACGTGTACAGTGGACAGGGCTAAATTAGGGTTGGAGGATATATGGGCTAAAGGAAAGTCCTCACAGTTGTCATAATCAAACTCTAATTACAAATAATGTAATGTGTGCGTGTGTGTGTGTGTACGTGTGTGTGTGTGTTGCACATGTTGACACATGCACACTGAAATAACCTGTTCTGTGTTTACATGAGACTCAGTTTACTGCGTGACTTGATTTTCCTGTCTAAGCTTTCGGCATTAAAATGCCAAATACACATTAAAAGGCGAGTGACAGGAAAATAACTTTCAAATGCAGAAGAGATTAAGAATAAGAAAAGGCAGAGACATCGTGATTTCGTAGCTAATGCTAAGGTAAGTCTGCATTTTGACTCAAAGAAACAACCAGACACTCTGTTACTGAACGCAACAGTTAATGTGTTTGGTTTTGAAAAAGCTGGCAGGGGAACGACTGCATCTCTGAAACTTTTACTGTTTTGCGTCGTATTTATAGCAGATTTACACCCACATGTGAAGTGTTTCACAACAGTATTTCGTAACCTGGAGGCCGGGCCAAAACAGTATTGACTGATGTATCAAATACAGATGTCAGCCAGTGTTCCAGGTATCTGACAGAGCTGTGCTATAAAGATGCTATGAGGGGGTTTTTGTCTTACTGTACATCTGAGAGCTGTAGAGAGCTGTAGAGCTGCCCGCTCAGGCTCATCCCTTCATCCACCCGTCACCCTATTTTGACCCAGAGAAGGAGTTGTGTTGTGGGCAGGAGAGAAGCGTCTGTGGATGTACAGCCCGGTCGTGCTAGGACAACGCTGGCTTTGGCTGAGGTGCAGGTATTTGGAACAAGTCTGTCTCAAACAGAACTGAACTGCACTCAACTAGAAACAACAAGTGGCTGCTGTGGCTATAATGAGACGGTGATACCTGTGGTTCTCCTGCCTGTTGGACTAAAGAGAGGGTAAAAGAAATAATTAAGAAAGAAAGAAGCTCACACCACCTCAAATCGCTTTGCAAATTTCCGCTTGTTCCCGTTTAATTCCTTTTCCCGAGCTTTCACTTAGTGTTTTGATAAAGTTAAATTCTGTAACATCCCTTTAATCCCGATGAGACATGCCGGCCACTGCCCCTGTCTGTGACGTATCATCATTGCTGTCAATGTGCAAATGATTATGTCCATGTCTTTACATGAATACATGTGAATTATAGTCATTCAGTCACGGAGCCGAAATAATCTGCCTGAAGTCTGTGATAGCCCTAGCGTGTTGCCATGGGAGATAAGAGATGCAGATATTGTTGCCGGGCTGGATGGAGCACACGAAGAGATGGTAAGAAGGAGAAAGGCAGAGAAAAGGTGAAGGAATCAGAATCATAAACGGGACAGAATAGAAAGATGATAAATTAGCATAATGAGACACCTCAGATGAAAGAGGCAGAAAATACAGACATCTGGGTCCTGTTTTAGATTGACAGCATAGCAGAGAAGACAAATAAGTGTCTCGTGTCCTTGCTCTTTTGTCTGGTAACTGCAGGGAATGTAGACGATCATTGAACACACCGTCAGCACTGCAGGATCCCACTCAAACAGTGCCAGGACAAGCTGCATCGGTGCGTCTTTTAAACTGCCATGGTCAACACCGTGTGAGGACATCTCCATAAATTCAAAGAAAAAGGAAAAGCTAAAGCTGCAGAGGCTGCCTATTATCAATACACCTTCCTTCTTCTTGCCGCCCTCATATGATCCCAGTAACTGTTACACCACGCAGGCAGACGTATCTCACAATAACATGTGCTGAGAGCGCACGCTGACTGCCAAAGCTGCTACCTGACAGATATAGACACTTGTGCTCATTGTTGGTCTGGCTGTCTGATGTTGACTCTGTAGCTCCAGCTCACAGCACTGTATCAGCATACAAGACCTTTAACTCATTAATCTTAACTGCTTGACAAGCTGTGTGTGTGTGTGTGTGTGTGTGTGTGTGTGTGTGTGTGTGTGTGTGTGGTTCAGTCTGCAGTAGGAGTGGTAATGATAAGTGAAGATTACCATTGTAGGGAATATCATTCGGTTTTATTAGTCATTTAAACGGCTGTAAAATAATTTATCAGACTTTCCTGATTAAGCAGCGACAGGTATAAGGCATTTATTTCCTGGTTGCTCTTGCTTTGTATTTTATGACACCACAGAGTTAGTGTCTGGTATTGGCTATCAAAGTCATTTAAAGTAGGTTATAGTTGATATTTTTATCAATGAAAGTGGGTCTTTTTTATTTTTTTCATTGGTTACATCATGATTCAACAGCAGTGTTCATTGTGGAAGCCATTTAGAGAGGAAGCATATAGCACCGCTCTCGTAGATTCTCTACCAGGAATGTTTTTGTGGTTTTCTTCCTTTAGACCAGACTTCTTTTTTTAACAGGATGTTTCATGTGGTGCCATAATTTAACGTCTCTTGTGTGTGTGTGCGCACATGTGTTCTGCATAGCCCAAATTAACCTGCACAGTGTACATGTGCTGAAAATCGGAGCACAAAGACCCAAAGCATGTGGACCATTATCAGCGTCACAGTGAGGTGTGATGTGTCGAGGTGGACGCCCCGGGGACGCCTCGGAGACGTGTGAATGCACTTTAGGATGCATGTGTTTGAGCGTGTGTTACTTTCTAAGGAAGCGGTTCAGTGTGCGTGCATGTGGGTGTGAGAGACTGGAAGTCTCTGTCCTGCCCTGCCCACTTGACACGACTAAGTTCAGGCTGTGGAGGGAAATCGAAGGCAGTGAGCAAGATCTGCTGCTGCTGGCGCCGATGTTACAGATATAAGACATTTTGGTGTTGCTTTGAGCATCAAAAGCCTTGTTTGCAGTGTAAATTAGAGTCAACTAAAGGGCAACGACTCTGCTTTTGTACTGACTAAATGTGTGTTTGGTATCAGAAGATGTTGCTGGTGCTCTGAAAGTCAAAGTTCAGCAGCGTTATACCCTGTTTTACAATCTTCCTCTGTTTCAGTCTGCAGAGTTCTTCGATATGCTGGAGAGGATGCAGGTATGACATTCTCATTAATTCTTTCCTGTGACTCCAGTTTCTTTCCTCTTATCTCTACCTTATTTCACCACTTCCATTTCTTACTCATGTCTGTGCTATCAAGAGATTCTTGTCCTGGGTAAAACTAAAACAGAACATGAACATACTGTGAGACGGTGTCTGTCCTCTCTCTTTTTCTTTGTCCACAGCCAGAGTTAACATATACAAGGATGTGACAGACATTGATGTTTCCATCAGTGTAGGTCAGCCCGCTGGGTTCAGTCTGTTGCTCAGATTGGATAATGGGCATGCTGGGGGCAGAGAAGAATAGAAAGATCTGGACTGGCATAACAATTTTCTCCTTCTCTACATGGAATTCATTCAATTCATTGATTTTTTATAAAGTCTTTCTCCGTCTGTATGACTTTTCTTTGTGCTCTCCTTCTGGGGCCCATAAGGGCGCAGGCTTTAAGTGGTCTGAGGACAGATGGGGATATAACAAGGTAGAGGAGGAGGAGGAGGAGGAGGAGGAGGAGGAGGAAGAGGAAGAATGTGCGAGGAGAAATGAAAGGCAGAGAAGAGGGAACAAGTGGCCAAGGGAAGATACAAAGAGAAGTAGAAGTGCTTGATATATGTTTTGTGATGACGTCTCCAAAATGTGTGAATTAGGCAGTACCAGGTAGTCGCTGGAAATGTGGAGAATATAATGACCCTTACTGTTATGCAGCTTATACATCCAGCTATGAAGGGACCAGTCACTGAAAATAATTACTTACTTTTTTTGCAGCAATTCATGAACGCAGCACATCAAACTACCCAAAAGCGAAATAGTGATCAAAACCAACATTGCGTTGATCATAACAACAAGCATTGCCCTTGTAGTCTGCCCGATATAGTTTATTAAATAAACTAGGCTTGAGTGCCACAGACAGGAGAGTTGGGACTAACACGTTGTTGATCTTTGTATCTGCAGTATTTAAGAACGAGGCCCCTGCTAGGGCTGTGTATTCGCAAGAACCTGGCAATACAATACAATATTGCGATTCTGAAAGCAAGGCGAAATATTACATTTTTTTACATATCATTTTGGGAAAACTGTCATAGTATAAAGAACATGCCACCATTTGTATAAAATGTAACTGAAAAAAAGAAGAGTGGGATCTGCATTCGTATTTCTCAAAGTACCGGAAACATTAAACATCAAAACACAACACAAAATGAACTACGGTCTGCCATGAATCTTTGCATGGAAACATCGATCGTGTTTTAATACTCAGGTGTATTCATGTTTTCTTACTCCCTTACCTACTTTGAATCATGGTTTCTCCTTAATAACACAAGTAGAGTTATTTGAAAAGTGTGACTGGTTGATGACAGTCAGTCAATGCAGCCCGATGATCAAAGATTCTCACATACAGCACACACACACACACACACACACACTGTGCACCATATCCATCCTCTCAACTTGCATCGACCTGCTCTCTTGAGCTCGGCCGCCTCTTACTCCACAGATGGAACTCAGCGCTCAAAGTGTGCTTCAATACTGTAGCCTGGATGGTGCTGATGAAGGTCACCTTTTTGATCCCCATCTCTTTTTTCCCCCTCCTTTCTTCTTCATCATCTAACTTCACCTCTTTCCACCTCTGCCTCCTCCTTCCTCCTTTGTCCCTCTCTCTTCATCTTTGTCTCTCTGTCTATGCCTGAAAATTAAAGCCTCTCCAGAGCGTCTTTGTGATCAGTCTCGTATTGTTGACAATGGCTCCCCCGTGACTTTAACAGCTGCTCCATCAATATGCACTCAGACAGACACACGCCACTACAGACCAGACTGAGAAGCATGTGTGTGTGTGTGTGTGTGTGTGTGCGCGTGGGTCCATAAGTCCATACTTGTACTGTTCAAAAGAATTCTTATGTGATTGGTGGCACTAGAAGTGATGGTAGTAGTGTGTATGTTCAGCACTCTGAATCCCCACACTTCTTCATTTCGTCACTTCAATGCTCAGTCATGTAGACAAGATGTTCCACTGGGCCTGTACCATAATTGGCCAATTTTCTTTGTGTCTACCAGATTGGCTTTTATATCTGCATATATATACAAAACACTGCGGCATCGGCCCGCGTCTCAGTGTGTCCCACGAAAAGGTAATGAGGAAAAGCATGTCTGGAAGCTACATTCAGAGAGATAGGATGACTAAGGGCCTGTATTACCCAAGTGTGTGTGTGTGTGTGTGTGTGTGTGTGTGTGTGTGTGTGTGTGTGTGTGTGTGTGTGTGTGTGCGTTTTGCGCAGGAAAGTGAATTAGCATGTATGACTCATTCAGTGTCATCTGAGCAACGGAGACAATGAGGTGCCATGTTCCGGCACAGTTTTTAAATGCACAATAAACAAACAAAACTTATTTATTTATTTTTTTTTACCCTTGTGCTTCTCCGTCCTCATGCTGCGCACGGACACTAATTAGGTCCCGAAAGCGGAAGAGCCCAAAAGATGGAAGGTGTGACCAGACACCGTACACACACTTGTACACTTCTGATCCGTTCGTGTTGTTATGTCTCTGCATGTTTCCCTTCATCACTGCTTCTTCATCATGATTTGCTCTGTGGTTTTTCTTGTCTCATCTGTCGGCCTATGAGAGATTCTGATTCCCCCCC